AACTTTACATTTCCCTGTATGGCCCCGGAAGATGACTGGTTAGCCAGAGACGGGTAAGATTCCTCAAGGGAGGAACAACCTAAGACAGGCACAGTCGCAGGGGGGCCATCAGGTGAGAATTTGGGGATCAACAGAGGTGAGGCTCAGAACCTCACCCCCCCTGCTTTGAGAGAAATCTTCTGCATCCGTGGATGTCTTGCTGCCCTTGTCTAGCCTGGATTAATACTTAGTCCATAGGCACACACCTGATCATCTGATCATCTACATTTGCCCTCTTACAGCACTAAACTATGTTTTCTACCTTTATCTTGCATCTACCTACCACTTCAGCATTTTATTAAAAATAAAAATAATAATAATAATAAAGGGAGAAATGTGGGATCCACATATAAATCAAGTATAAAAATCAAACGAATATTCATATTTGACCTGATTGTTTATAGTTCACAATGCGTGATCAAAACCGAAAGTTTCTGTGATGACTGCCTTTGTACTGTTCGTCATGTAAGAACTTATTCACTATGTAAGAATTTGTTCACCATGTAAGAACTTGTTCGTTATGCTTCAGAAGATTGGAGACTGACGAGAATTAGGCTTGGGGTGGATTAATGATTGTGCATTGAGCATTGACTCCCCTATACAGAATTTTATTGTTGTTAACAACTATTTGATCAATAAATATGAGAGATGCCCTCTCAAAAAAAAAAAAAAGAATTGCAGATATTATATGTCAACCAAAAGTCAATAAAATGTTATAAAATAAAAAAAAAATGAGATGAAATCAAGATTTTTTCCCAGACATATAATGATGAAAGAATTCAGCAATAGCAGACTTGCACTACAAGAATTATTAAAGGTCTTTAAAGCAGAAGAAAAATGACACCATATGGAAAAATGGATCTAGACGAAGGAATGAAGATCATTGAGGATGGTAACTATAATGATAAATATGTCAGTAAATATAAAAGACTTTTATCTCATATTTAAATTTTTAAAAAGTTGACTGTTCAAGCAAAAGTAAAATCAATGTATTGTGAGTTTATAATATATGGAGAGGTAAATGTATGAGAAATACAGCACAAAGGTCTGGAAGGAAAAATGGAAGTACACTTTTGTGAAGGTTCTTATGCTACACATGAAGTGATATATGACTTGAATGTAGACTATGATAGTTAATATACATAATATAAACTTTCATCTAACTACTAAAAAATCCCAGACTTATAGCTAATAAGCCAACAATGGAATAAAATGAAATCACAAAGAAAATGATTACTCCAAAAGAAGGCTGAAAGAGGGGAAAAGAGAAACAATGAACAGATGGGACAAATAGAAAGTAAATGGCAAGATGTCACATTTAAAGCCATATTCATAATCACATTCAATGTAAGTGGTGCAAGTATCCCAACTGAAAGCACAGACTGGATTAAAAAGCAACTATATGCTGCCTACAAGAATTGCAATTAGTATAAAGACACATAGGTTAGAGTGAAAGGATAGAAAAGATACCCCATGCTAACACTAATTAAAATAAATTTGGAATGGCTATCCTAATATGAGACAAAGAATATTTCAGAGTAAAGATTACTGCCAGGGATAAAAACTGCAATTAGATAATGATAACAGGGTCAAATCATTTAGAGGACAGAGTGATAGATAATGATAACAGGGTCAAATCATTTAGAGGACACAGTGATACTTAATATTTATGCATCTAATAATAGAAACTTAAAATGCATATGGAAAAGGCTATAAAAAAGGTAAAATTAAGAGGAGAAATAGACAAAATCCTTAATTACAGTCAGAAAATTCAATAGACCTGTCTTAATAATTAATAAACAAGTACTTAGAAAAATAAGAATATACAAGGCATGTCTCAAATGCCCATCAACTTATGATTGGATAAACAAAACATAATATATCTATATAATAGAATATTTATTCAATCATAAAGAGGGATAGAGTATTGATATGTGCTACAATATTATTTTGTATGAAATAAGTCAATCAAAAAAAGGCCACATACGTATGACTGTATTTATATGAAAGTTCCAGAATGGTCCAATCTATGGAGACAGAAAGTAGATTAGTGGTTGCCACATACTATAGAATGAATGTTACATCCCCCTAAAACTCATATGTTTAAACCTAATCCTTAATGTAAGTGCATTTGGAAGTAGGACTTTGGGAGATGATCAGGCCATGAATGGAATTAGTGCCCTTATAAAAGAGATCCCAGAGAGCTCCCTCCCATTTCCACATGAGTATATAGTTTTTTTTTGCTAAAATACTCAATATTCATACCTTCTAAAGCCTAATCATAGGAGCAGAGTGGAACCTGACAGAAATATTGCCAGGGACTATGCCTTGGTAAGATCTTGGGAATCAGGCTGGAATGAGTAAGGGAGTTAACCTAGAACAACTGAAGTAGTATTATCTAAGTGAAGAATGAGAGTCACCCCTGAGGTGACAAGTCACAGGTGGGTGATAGAGAAGTTTCATCTGGTAAGTAGTTGGGAGGTTGTAAAGCAAGGTTTGGTTTTCAGTGGGCTAAGCAAGGGCTCATTTGCTGTGGAGATCAATAATAGGTTGGGGAATATTATTACACCCCAATATTGCGGTATATTTCTATTACCTTTATACTGAAGTGTAAGGCAGATTGAAGTGAAATGTTTCAAGTTTCAGGCTGAGAGCAAGGTCAAGAGGCCAGGTGCTCACTGTTGCTGGACGCTGGCCATGGAGACTTACAAAGACTAGCTCTAAGTCACAGGATGTGAACATGTCTATATTTCTGAGTATGAAGCAAAACCACACTCACTATATCTGATGGTCCTGTCTCCTTTCCCCCACCCCCAACATCCTTCCTCTTTTAATTGTGGTACATGTGGTTACTTTTGCTAATAATATAACATAAACTTCTGCTCTCAATAGACCATAGATAAACTTTATTATCTGTGTCTCTCAAGGACAAGTTCTACTTTTGAGATCTTAATAATGTAGAGACTTACTGTAATAAAGGATGCAGATAGCAGATAGAAATTTGAAGGAGAGAGAGAGAGGAGAGTGAGGGAGTGTGGAAGGGAGGGAAGAAAGGAGGGAAAGAAGGAAGAGGAGGGAAGAGGAAAAGAAGTGAGGGAAGGGAAATGAGAGGAGGGAAGCAGGAACAGGAAATAGGAGATGGAATGAAGAATGGAGTGTATAAGGAAAAGGAAAGCAGACTGACAATTTCCTTTATTCCCGTCTGTCCCACCCTAAGAACTGCTAGTAAGGAAAGTAGGAAGAGATTTTAAACTGACAAAGAACTTACAATTAATTTAAAAAAGAAGTCAAGAACTAGGTGAAGGATTCTTCTACACAGCCTTTTACTCTCTTTTCTGGTCAAAGAGAATAAACAAAGATCAAATATTCATTCTATCTTTGGATAATAAACAATAATGGATGTGTCAATATGTCATATATTAAGCAATTATCAACCACCATTTTAGAGATCATAAGAATTTACCTACCTCCTCACTGGCCACTCTTCTCAGCCTCCTTTGCTAGATTCTTCTTAGGAATCTAGCACTGAAATGTTGTAGTTCTGGATTCCTCTCCTTCCTTCTCTCTTGGTTCTCCATTCTGCCCCCAAAAGTTGCTTCCCAGGTGGTCACAAAAATCTCTGTTCCTGTAAATACCACCTAAATGCTTATGGCTCTCAAGTTTACATATTCAGCTAGGCCCTTTCCTCCAAAATCCAAATGTATTTATACAACTGCAAACTGGATATTTCTACTTAGATCACAGCACATGTCAAAATAAACATCTCCAAAGCTGATTTTGCCCCTTTGGTAAGTATTGTAGGTTGATGCTCCTAAATTCTTTTTGCAACTCCCCCTTTCCCTTGCCTCCCTGTCTATGAGGCTATGAAAGGTCAAAATTCAATTTCCCACCTACTTCTGTATCCGTGTGACACAATTCTGGACAGTGACATCTCCTGATGTTGCCTTTTTCTTTCTTCCTTATTTAGGACTAGAACATGGAATATAAGTCTTGGAGGTCCATAATAAAAATGAGGACAAAAGTATAGTAATAAGGGTGGTAGAGGAGAAAGACACAAAGAATATGGATCTCTGATGGTGTCATTAAGCTACTATGCTAACCCTTATATGCCTAACTCCAGTATCCATGTCATTTGAAATAAACAAAGCTGTAAGTATCTAAGCCAATGTAGTTTCAGGCTTTCTATTATTGGCAACCCAACTCATTCTTAATCAGCTTATAAACATGTTTCATCTTTAAGTCTCTTCATCTCAGTAAACTGTTGCTCCAGCCAGAAATAAGGTGATCATTCTCTTTTCCATGATCTCAATATTTCCCCTCCCATACTGAACACACACATTGAGTCCATCCGTAAGGCTTGTGACATTTCCTGCAAAGATGAGGGTGTTATCAATGTCCATCTGCACTGCAGCGACCAGTCTAAAGTTAAATGCAAAAGCTTCTTCACTGTCCTACCCACTTTCCTCTCACCCCTTCTCAGTCATTTCTCAACCTAGAGTTTCTTTAAAAAATTTAAATGTTAGCATGTCACTACTCTGCTTAAAACCCTTTACTAGATTCCAGTTGCACAGAATCTAGGCCACATATCAAGACCTAGGAGAAATTGCAGTGTCTACTGCTCCCTTCTTCAACAACCTGTCAGGGGTCGCTTCAGCTCTTCCTAAGCTCCATCCACAATGGCTGCAGGTTCCTAGAGCAACATAATTTACTTCGTGACTCAGATTCTTTTCACATGCTGGTTCCATCCATGCCCATCACATTTACATGGAGTAACTCCTTTTTACCCTCAAGTCTCAGCTTAATAAGTGTGTCCTTAGAAAGTCCTTTGACCATTCTATTAAAACTCAGATCTTTCCTACCCAACCCCATTGTTCCCAAAGACAGAAAGTTGTTTCTTTTTTCTTCTTTGAAGCATCTACTCTACCATTTTTATTTGTTATTATTCAGGGTCCAGTTTGGGAAATAGAAACCATACATGTTTATTTTAACAGGAAGAATTTCATATAGAAAATTAGCAAAATACATATGGGTAGACTGGAAAGACCAAAAAGGGAACATCAAGATACCACAGAGATAGCAACTGCAGGAAATAATCATTGTGCCTAAAACTGAGGATTCTCAGAACCTAGAGGCCCCCTGTAGGGTGAGACCCTGAGTTCTGAGGATGCCATTTGTCTTGTCAGCACCTCAGGAGCTTGGAGGAGGACACTGAGGGGCTGGTTTCCAGATCTGAAGGAGAAGGTGTTACCTGGCTGGTGTTGGTACCTCTGACAAGGTGCGATGAAGCTGTTTCTGGTAGTGCTGGAAGAAACTAGAAACTACACCCAACCAGTGGTGCTGGAGTAAATTATATGCAATGGTAACTGCTGCAGACAACAAGGAGAACAAGAGAGCAGGTCCCTTTTGTTTCTTATTGCCTACCAGTCTTCTTTAGCACCCCCATATGGCTCCACCTGGCAAAGGAAAACTATAGTTTACAGTCTCAGATTGAGCAAATCAGAGCCATACATACAAGGATGGCTTTAGGGATGAGATATTATAGCCTACAAACTAGCAAAGTATTTGTTTAATGTCTTTTCTTTCCTATTAAACAGTATGTGTTCAAGACCCATGTCTCTCTTTTTCCTATTTTACTCCCTGTGCATTGCACATTAAGAAGTAGATACAAGGCACTCATTAATGTTCCTTGGAATGATGAATTTATTAGATTTTTCTCAAAACTACTTAGCAAAATGTACAATTCAATTCTTGTTGACTGAGTAATATTGAGTGCTCTTATGATGGTGGTAGGTATTGGGGCTAAAAGATGACTATGAGGTGGTTCCTTACCAGTTAGCAGGGAATTTAAGACATTCTCAAATAATAATAAACAGCAAAATGCCATAGTGAACATTAATGGGTTTAAATGTCCAAAGAACTGAACAGGTAGCAAAGTCTATGAGAGACCATTAAAGAAAAATATAAATGTACGTTTGGAACGATTCAGAAGACCTATGAAATTAGTTATCATCTGAGGCAGGTTTGAGAGGGAGCAGCTAAGCAAAGCCATGGAGGAGGAATGAATTTAGCAGGTTTTGAGAAGATTCTGATGAAAATAGAGAAGTGAGGCATCAGTAGAAGTCACTGGAAAAGTAAATTGGAGCCAACTGTGGGAAATCATGAATTACGGAGTTAGAATTATGAGTATTATGTCTTTTTCAAAGAGAAGGCATTCAAAATTTTTAAGGAAAGGAGTGATGTGGCCATTGTGAATATTTTCTGAAGGTAAATCTGGCAGCATCATAGGGAACTGAGTTGTAAAAGCTAGAGCCAGAAAGGCTGACAATAACCCTGAGCCAGAAAAATACCGTGGAGATAGAAAGAAAATAAAATGATAGTTAGTAACGTTTAGAAGAAAGAATCAATATTAACAATGCAGAATTAATCCAGGACCAGAAGGGTGAAGAGGTGATCTATCTAGAGTTAACCCAGTGATACACATAAAGAGGGTTCAAAGGCTGGAATTAGACAAGAGAAACTGAGTTTCATCAGAAGAACTTGATTAATAATGACATCAGTACAACAGAAGTCCAAATGAATATCCTCCAGTATTTACACCCAGTATTTTGAAAAGTTAATATGAATCTGGAAGAATATATATATCTTCATCTTGAGGGCCTTGAGAAGTACTAGGCTTCTGGAAGTTATAATAGTCAGATGGTGTCTCATTTCCATAGATATGCTCCTCGAAATCGGTCTGCCGAGTGTTCTCATATAGTTCCTTATCTGTTTCTTCTTTAGCTTTGGGGAGACCCGCTTCCACATTTTCATAGTTGCCATGTACACTAGTCCCCCCAGAAGCATATCTGTGGTCTTGGGTTTGAACTGAGATTTTATGCCTTGGACTGATAATGTGAGGACCTGAGAGTGTTTTAGTATAATCTTTTCTCCTGCTGCTTCTCCTTTGCAAAAACTTCGGTAAGGTAAATTGCATTGTGTTCTGATGTTTCCAGCGCCATACACACCCAATTCCACAGATCACCAAAAGCAAAAGAAGGGAAATTCCTGTAGAAATGACCACTGAAGTATTTCCACAGCTTTTCAACATTTCTGCACAAAGTGTTGTTTAGTAGTATGGTGTAGCCCTTAATGAAATCACAGGTACAGATCAATGTAATTCCTTGTAGGATATGGTTCAAAAGTAGTTTTGAAAACTCTTTTTAACATTTCTTTTTCATATCTGAAGGAACATAATCTGGCAAAGTCCTGACACAATTAGAATAGCAATTGAGTATATTTAGTTTTAGAAGATGGTTCTTGTCGTATCTAATGCTGTTTCCGTTGCAATCATTAAAGGATAATCGCACTGTGTCAGGGAGGATTTTATTTGACTCCACTTCCTTTTCTATCAATGAATCACAAAATGAAGCAGAAATGAGTGGAACATAATAGCAAAGTAAAAAACTCAAAAAGGAAAGTTTAAACAATCTATCATCCAGATACCTGCTATAAATTAAAAACATATTAATTGAATACTACATAGCATAATAAAAAATCTACCAATTTATACCAATATATTAAACATCAGCATTTAGTGAGTTCCTGCTTCAATACAGAATACAGTACCAGCAGTTGGTAGAAGAGAAAAAGAGAAGAACCTGTCCCTGCCCAAGCCTGAGTAGTTTTATCACTTAGATTTCAAAATGGTTTTTAACAATAGGCTAATAATTTTCAAGTGAAGGACAATGCTTTGAACACCATAGGGGAAAAGAGACAAGAGTATACATGTGCAATCATTTCGATTACCTATCACTCCTCTTGTAAGTCTGTGGGTAGTCAGGGACCGTGTTTTTTCCTTAATTACTCCTTCCTCTGAATTCCCATATTAATGAGTCCATTATAGCATGACAACCTAAATTACAAGGAATTGTGTATCTCTACCTGGTTAAATGGTGGGCAGAGATGAAGTACTTTCATTTTTATATTCCTAGAAAATAGCATAATACTAAGCATAGAAAAGGCACTCTGTTGATATTTATTGAATGAATGATTAAATAAACAAATGATTCCAAATATCAGAATCTAATTGTTTAATAGCTTAAGATTCAAGAAATGTCTTCTAAAGGGTATAGTTTATACTTAAGAAAAAGAGCTCTAGACATAACACAAAATACCTAAAACAAAATTTGAAAGCCTTATCACTAGTCTTCACAACTTCCAGCAAATAACTTTCTTTCAATTAAGATAATTTTAGAGTGCTGTCTGTCAATGCTTTAAAATGGCAAAGAGGAAACAGGAGACAGTCAACTAGACTGAATATACTATAATGATTTTACTGACAAAACATTATTACTGTGTTTTCAACTTAGACAAAGACATAGTTACATCTAATATTGTTTTTATTTTTCTTTAGTTTTATTGAGATATAATTCACATTAACATTGTATCAGTTTAAGGTATACAACATGATGATTTGATATATATAGTGAAATATTACCACACCAAGTTTAGTTAACGACCATTACCTCACAGTTACAATTTTTTTTCTTTTGATGGTATACATTTTAAGATCTACTATCTTAACAACTTTCAAATATACAATACAGTATTGTCAACTATAGTGATCCAGTACAGTTAATAGTGCTTTGGGATGATTATCATAATCTACTGAATTTCATCTTCAATAATATTTAGTTAAGAACTTATTTGCGTTTAACTTCTAAACACTTTTACATGTATCATCTCATTTAATCTGATAGCTGCATATGAAGAAAACACATGTTGTGCCCATTTTATAGATGTGGTAAGAGAGGATTAATGAAGTTAAACAACTTCTTTAGTAAGTAAGAAGTGACTGCATCTGTATTCAGAAAAATTTGCCCCCAAATATTATTCTTACACAAACTTCTGTAAATGGCTTTTGAGTATATCTATCACTACATTTTTATAGCTTGACTAGCTCTAAGGTTATTGAGCTATTGAGGGCTGGGAATTGTATCTCATTTAGCTTTATATCACCAGCACCAGTACTAGACAGAGACTAGCTAGTTTATTAAAGATTTGTTAATGAATGGGGCAACCTGTATTAGGATAGCAATAATAACAATATACAGGAAAAAAGAAAACCCACAAAATTGTTCCCTGATTTCAACGAGTATTCATGCGTGATGGTGAACTTTTCCAAATTTGTTCAAAAAGGTTAAAATATGTCAACACGCAAATTTTCAATTTGGCATTACATATAACATGCCAGATTGAATGTGAGATACAGTTAACATAAAATTTATTTAATAAATTTTAGGGGCAGACCCCTGAAATCTAGACACCTTTTCATCACTTTGGAACTTTTGTAGGTTCCCTCCTTCATATGGCCAGAAGCAATGCTTGCATCAAGGGGAAAGGCTTGGCTAATGACTTTACCATTAAGACCCCATTTCCTTTTTGAAACAAATGAGAACTGATCACACGTAAAATATTCTATGGTATAAATGATTACTCATTTAAGTAAAAAATTTCCAGCATATTTGAACTAAATTTCAAATACTGATTGAAGTTAATATTTTAAAAGGGGCTAGGCCTACAACAGAAGTGGGGAAGGCTAACTAACTATTGTACCCTGAGGATAACAATAAATTGCTCTCTCGATTTCCAAGAGGAGAATTTACTTTTACCACCTATGTTGTGCTATGTGGACATCCAGTACATACCAAATATTAAAATTGCTTGTTAAAGAAGTGTTCACTGAGATAAAAACAAGAAGACATTTCATAGAAAAAGATATTCATCCTTTCCTTTCTTCAAAATAACTTGCTAGAAAAAACTGTAAGACATAAACAAAGACCTCCTAGAATGAAAAACATGTTAAACAAGTGCCCTTCAAAGATATCTTAACACCTCAAAAGTTTCACTTTGCCCAATTTGGAAGAAGACTGTTTTTGTTTTAGAAAACAGTTCCAACTTAACAATTACTCATTTGTCTTAAAATCATAGACTGTTGATAAATTTCTGGAATTTTCAAAGTCAGAACCGACCTTGTTTAGAAACGAGGCAACAGCAGAGCTTATTATCATGTTTGTGAGCATTTATACTTACAAAGAAACATTACCACCACCCTCAGTTTGTAAACTGATCCCCCCTTATTATCACTTAAGGCCTCCTAAAATTTGTTTGAGAAGAAAGTCACTTGTTATTAAAAATGAGCTCATTTCTTATTGTTTCTCATTATCCACACACCTTAAATTAAGTTCTTAACTTACCTTGAGATTGGTTATGCTGGGCTCTCTTCTGTTCTTTTGGTTAAACCTGCTTTGGTTTAGAACATGTTCCTCTTTTTCACTTTGGTCAGTTAACTTCCTTCTTCACCTTCTTTCAGAGTATTTCATACTTGCAAAGTTTCCTGGTTCTAGAGGAAGTTCTTATTATTGAATGCACCAGAATTAAGAAAAATGGCATACGTTTTTGAATAAGAAAGTCCAGCCCTACATCTTTATCAAGTAATAATTCTCTAGATATACCAGAAAATGAACATGGTATTTTACTTGAGCAATATTTGCAGTCCTCACGTTCGAATGAATAAAAGTCATTTCATCTGAATTCTGCATTTTTTAGAAACAAAGATTTTTTTAAGGTAGTAACCACACATAGGGCTTGTGTGTGTGTGTGTGTGTGTGTGTGTGTGTGTGTGTGCTTGTATGAATCCTAGAACAGTCCTCATTCTGAATACTATGTTCCAATGCCCCAGGTTACTTCTACACTTATCCAAACAGTGTCCCAACTTTGGTTCCGAAAATGTTAACATTCTCCTAACCTGTTAAGATAGGAATTTCCCAAAGTACATTTTGAGTTGTACTATTTCTGGGATTTTCTAGTAAGTCTTTTGTAAAGTCAATTTGGGAAATACTGCTTCCCTGGGAGATTCACAGGTACTCAGCATATTAAAGTCTGTGAGCAATCCTACAGCATGCAAACAAAGCAAAAACAAACATGAAAGAAAAACTGTTTAACTTCACTTAATAATAGTAGCCCACATATTATGAACACTTACTACATCTTTTAAACCTTGTGTGCAACTTTATAAATTCTGACAACTCAATGGAAGGATCAACGCTAGCTATTCGTCCTGACAGAGGAAGAAATGGAAGCAGAGTGACAAAAAACCACCCAACCAGTGTGGCTTGGCAGTTTGTCTCCAGCACCTGTGTGCTAACCACTGTATTTGCTGTCTCCCTAGGGTGAATAGTGTTTCCAGCACAGAACCCTTATTTACCAGCATCTCTAAGGGACCAACTTGGTGGAATACAAAAATAGGAAATGCTGAATTAGATATGAAGATAAAGTAATGGAAATTTTGCCTTTTACATTATATGGGAACTTTTTCAACCACAACTTTGTATAAGGTGGTTTAAAAGAGGAACATTTATTTACTGAAATGCCAATCGAACATTAGAAGAACAAAAATGTCAATATAAATTGGGCATTGACACTGGGCCACACGTTGTGCTAAGCAAGGGGGATGCAATAATGAGCAAACTCATTTGTAGCACCCAAAGCCTAGTAGAAAGAAAGGCTGCTATATCCACAGAGCATTTCAGAACAAGGTAGTAAGAGTTAAGAAAGACAGGTTATGTACAGGGGACAATGAAGCAAGAACAGGAGGCATCCAGATCAGAGTGGTCAGCGAAAGCAAGACCTGAGTTAAGCCTCATAAAACAAGTAGTTAATCAAGGCAGAATAGAAGTGTTCCAGGCAGATTCCAAAGTGAAGGAGATTATGAAGTTGTAAGGGAGTGAGCCATGAAAAGTGTTAACCCTACTTGTATGCTGGTTTAGGCAATGAGATCTGCCACCTTGAATACCTGTCAGGCCTAAAGAGAGATATATTGCTATGGTTCATTGGATGATTTAGAAAGGTTGGTTACAGTCCAGGGCTAACAAAAGAGGACAATGAAGGAAAACAAAGTAAAAAGACCTAGGAATCTCACTCCTAAGTATATACTCAATAGAAATGAGGGCTATTTCTAACTGCCTTATTCATAATATCCAAAGCTCTAGAAATACTCTAACAGTCTATCAACAATATACAATGGGTGAATAGAACATGTTAAATCTACAACCAGAATACTACATAGCCAAAAAAAATGTATTGATGTACACAACAGATGAATCTCCCAAATGTAATGTAGAATTAAAGAAGCTGTAACAAAAGAGTACGTATTGTATGATTCCATTCTCAAAATCATGTAAAGCTTATCTATGAATACATGATGGTAGATAATAGGTTAGAAGAGTGGTGGTTACTATAAACTGGGAGGTACATGAGCACACTTTCTCAGATGCTAGAAGTGTTCTATATCTTGATCTTTATGGGAATTGTATCTCATTTAGCTTTATATCACCAGCACCAGTACTAGACAGAGACTAGCTAGTTTATTAAAGATTTGTTAATGAATGGGGCAACCTGTATTAGGATAGCAATAATAACAATATACAGGAAAAAATAAAACCCACAAAATTGTTCCCTGATTTCAACGAGTATTCATGCGTGATGGTGAACTTTTCCAAATTTGTTCAAAAAGGTTAAAATATGTCAACACGCAAATTTTCAATTTGGCATTACATATAACATGCCAGATTGAATGTGAGATACAGTTAACATAAAATTTATTTAATAAATTTTAGGGGCAGACCCCTGAAATCTAGACACCTTTTCATCACTTTGGAACTTTTGTAGGTTCCCTCCTTCATATGGCCAGAAGCAATGCTTGCATCAAGGGGAAAGGCTTGGCTAATGACTTTACCATTAAGACCCCATTTCCTTTTTGAAACAAATGAGAACTGATCACACGTAAAATATTCTATGGTATAAATGATTACTCATTTAAGTAAAAAATTTCCAGCATATTTGAACTAAATTTCAAATACTGATTGAAGTTAATCAATATTTTAAAAGGGGCTAGGCCTACAACAGAAGTGGGGAAGGCTAACTAACTATTGTACCCTGAGGATAACATAATAAATTGCTCTCTCGATTTCCAAGAGGAGAATTTACTTTTACCACCTATGTTGTGCTATGTGGACATCCAGTACATACCAAATATTAAAATTGCTTGTTAAAGAAGTGTTCACTGAGATAAAAACAAGAAGACATTTCATAGAAAAAGATATTCATCCTTTCCTTTCTTCAAAATAACTTGCTAGAAAAAACTAAGACATAAACAAAGACCTCCTAGAATGAAAAACATGTTAAACAAGTGCCCTTCAAAGATATCTTAACACCTCAAAAGTTTCACTTTGCCCAATTTGGAAGAAGACTGTTTTTGTTTTAGAAAACAGTTCCAACTTAACAATTACTCATTTGTCTTAAAATCATAGACTGTTGATAAATTTCTGGAATTTTCAAAGTCAGAACCGACCTTGTTTAGAAACGAGGCAACAGCAGAGCTTATCATGTTTGTGAGCATTTATACTTACAAAGAAACATTACCACCACCCTCAGTTTGTAAACTGATCCCCCCTTATTATCACTTAAGGCCTCCTAAAATTTGTTTGAGAAGAAAGTCACTTGTTATTAAAAATGAGCTCATTTCTTATTGTTTCTCATTATCCACACACCTTAAATTAAGTTCTTAACTTACCTTGAGATTGGTTATGCTGGGCTCTCTTCTGTTCTTTTGGTTAAACCTGCTTTGGTTTAGAACATGTTCCTCTTTTTCACTTTGGTCAGTTAACTTCCTTCTTCACCTTCTTTCAGAGTATTTCATACTTGCAAAGTTTCCTGGTTCTAGAGGAAGTTCTTATTATTGAATGCACCAGAATTAAGAAAAATGGCATACGTTTTTGAATAAGAAAGTCCAGCCCTACATCTTTATCAAGTAATAATTCTCTAGATATACCAGAAAATGAACATGGTATTTTACTTGAGCAATATTTACAGTCCTCACGTTCGAATGAATAAAAGTCATTTCATCTGAATTCTGCATTTTTTAGAAACAAAGATTTTTTTAAGGTAGTAACACATAGGGCTTGTGTGTGTGTGTGTGTGTGTGTGCTTGTATGAATCCTAAAACAGTCCTCATTCTGAATACTATGTTCCAATGCCCCAGGTTACTTCTACACTTATCCAAACAGTGTCCCAACTTTGGTTCCGAAAATGTTAACATTCTCCTAACCTGTTAAGATAGGAATTTCCCAAAGTACATTTTGAGTTGTACTATTTCTGGGATTTTCTAGTAAGTCTTTTGTAAAGTCAATTTGGGAAATACTGCTTCCCTGGGAGATTCACAGGTACTCAGCATATTAAAGTCTGTGAGCAATCCTACAGCATGCAAACAAAGCAAAAACAAACATGAAAGAAAAACTGTTTAACTTCACTTAATAATAGTAGCCCACATATTATGAACACTTATTACATCTTTTAAACCTTGTGTGCAACTTTATAAATTCTGACAACTCAATGGAAGGATCAACGCTAGCTATTCATCCTGACAGAGGAAGAAATGGAAGCAGAGTGACAAAAAACCACCCAACCAGTGTGGCTTGGCAGTTTGTCTCCAGCACCTGTGTGCTAACCACTGTATTTGCTGTCTCCCTAGGGTGAATAGTGTTTCCAGCACAGAACCCTTATTTACCAGCATCTCTAAGGGACCAACTTGGTGGAATACAAAAATAGGAAATGCTGAATTAGATATGAAGATAAAGTAATGGAAATTTTGCCTTTTACATTATATGGGAACTTTTTCAACCACAACTTTGTATAAGGTGGTTTAAAAGAGGAACATTTATTTACTGAAATGCCAATCGAACATTAGAAGAACAAAAATGTCAATATAAATTGGGCATTGACACTGGGCCACACGTTGTGCTAAGCAAGGGGGATGCAATAATGAGCAAACTCATTTGTAGCACCCAAAGCCTAGTAGAAAGAAAGGCTGCTATATCCACAGAGCATTTCAGAACAAGGTAGTAAGAGTTAAGAAAGACAGGTTATGTACAGGGGACAATGAAGCAAGAACAGGAGGCATCCAGATCAGAGTGGTCAGCGAAAGCAAGACCTGAGTTAAGCCTCATAAAACAAGTAGTTAATCAAGGCAGAATAGAAGTGTTCCAGGCAGATTCCAAAGTGAAGGAGATTATGAAGTTGTAAGGGAGTGAGCCATGAAAAGTGTTAACCCTACTTGTATGCTGGTTTAGGCAATGAGATCTGCCACCTTGAACACCTGTCAGGCCTAAAGAGAGATATATTGCTATGGTTCATTGGATGATTTAGAAAGGTTGGTTACAGTCCAGGGCTAACAAAAGAGGACAATGAAGGAAAACAAAGTAAAAAGACCTAGGAATCTCACTCCTAAGTATATACTCAATAGAAATGAGGGCTATTTCTAACTGCCTTATTCATAATATCCAAAGCTCTAGAAATACTCTAACAGTCTATCAACAATATACAATGGGTGAATAGAACATGTTAAATCTACAACCAGAATACTACATAGCCAAAAAAAATGTATTGATGTACACAACAGATGAATCTCCCAAATGTAATGTAGAATTAAAGAAGCTGTAACAAAAGAGTATGTATTGTATGATTCCATTCTCAAAATCATGTAAAGCTTATCTATGAATACATGATGGTAGATAATAGGTTAGAAGAGTGGTGGTTACTATAAACTGGGAGGTACATGAGCACACTTTCTCAGATGCTAGAAGTGTTCTATATCTTGATCTTTGTGGTGGTCATAAGATGCATCTATATGCAACCATTCAACAACCTGTCCATTTAAAATTTGTGTACCACATGGAAAGTGTTTCTTAATTAAAATTAAAAAATTGGAAATTAAAGATAAGACAAATCAAATCATGAAAAATTGAGATAATTAGGTATTATTTTTATTCATTCAGATTGCCATCTTCTTTGGTAAACTAGTCTACTAATTTGAGTGGAGGAATACTTCATTAAATTGTAGGCTAACTTTAAGCTAGATGAATTCTAACTTTACCTGGAGTTTCCTGAAGCTGGAGTTTGTAAGAAAGAAGGGAATTTATTAATGAACCTTTAATCAGGCTAGTCATGGCAGGTTGTTCCTACTTTATGAGTCATGGATATGGTCTTTCATTGCCACACCTTGACTTACTGAAGGGATGTGTGGATGAAGAATCTTGTTCAACCTAAAAACACATAGTTACAAAGCAATTTTACCTAAAATAAATAATTCTAGCATTCTGGGCAAATAAAACAACTTCTGTCTTCCTTTCCTCATGCATAAGACAATGAGTTGAGTGATTCCTGAGGTTCCCTCAAATTCTCCTAAGTACAAATGAACAAAATAAAAAATGGTCATCACATTCAGAAGAGGACATTTGAAATTGGTTTTTATGTTTAGTATGTACTTCCTTTTAGTCCAACTCCCTTTTTTCATAATGTCTTTCCTAATTGCTACACAGATCAGATAACATGACTTGAAGCTTGCTTCAACTTCAGTTGAACAACACTCCCTTCTCCTTCCCCCATTGTTTCCCCTTCAGATGAAAATAAATGGCATTGGGAAAGCTGAGTAATCTTTCAATATGAAGAAAAAAATGAAAGCATTTTACTTCATGAATAAAATTGAAAGCTGCATAATTTAGCATTCCTATAGTAGATATACCATTCATCTTAGACTGTACACAATTTCACAAGTCAGATAACTGACAAATTATTTCAACAGATACTTTGTTCATTTGAGGAGAGTACTGTAAACTAGGAATAATACTAGATAACAAAACAGTTATTGTTTGATTCTGCCAACTTCCTCAGTGAATGTTGAGAGATATGTCATAATTTTTATATTACTGGACATATTTTAAAACTTCATGCTGAAGTCAGGCTGGATGTGAGAACTACTTGATAGCAGACACCTTTCTCCGATGGAGAGAGACAATCACTATTACTATTTCAAACCTGGCAGGGGGCAGGAACTGCAGACAGAGGAGAGTATTATCATAAGCTCTTTGCATTAAGACCCTGAATGATCTCAGTTGTATAATGATTCTGAGCAAGAAATGAGGGAAGGCAGAGAACAGCTAACAGCTTTAGATTCACTTTTTTTTTCCTGAAACTGGGATGGTGCCCTGTGTAACTCTGTTCCCATGACAAACAGTAAAAGGTGAAGAAAATAACAAAACAAACACTAACAGAGTGGATGGGGCAGGGGAATCTGCCTAAAAGGGTCTTGATAACCAGGGTCCCTTTTTTATGTTCCTGTGAGAAACATACTTCAGAAGCCATTTCATATTCACATAAACACTGAACATTCACCAGAAACCAAAGGAATTAGTATGTGGGGCATAAATGGTTAATGTTCTCAAGTAAGAATGATGTCCCAGCTACATTCATTTTTCTGAAACCCATTTTCTGTGCTTCCTTATAGATATATTAACAATAGGACAAGCTATAGTCACATTGTTCTTCTTTCTTCTCTTGAGACATCTCTCTCAACCTGAGTGCTCCTTTTACTAGTTAATTTATCAAAATTTTAAGAGTATCTCCCTCTTGTCTTCAGAGTCATCTCTATCTCCAACATTAACTAGCTTAGGCCAGTCATTCAAACACAGAGAACCTCAATTTCCTCATCTGTAAAATGTATCAGTGATTCTTAACTAGTAGTTCATTAGAATCTCCTGAGGAACTTTAAAAAATATGATGCTTGGGCTCCAGGCCACAGAAATTAAAGCAAAATCTCTGAGGGTATAACTCAAATATTAGTAGTTTTAAAAGTTCCTCAGGTAACCAGCAAGTCAGTATTGAATACTCAGGCCTTTTTTGAACTAATATCCTATGACTCTATGCTGTATGATCCTGAGCAAACCACTTCACTCTACTTAAATTTTCTTCATCATAAAAAGGGAAATAGTGTATTGCAAGAAAAAACAAATGACCTGCAAAGTGCTTAGTGTTCATCAGAGAAATACATGTTACTAAAAACTCCCACGAATTTGTATTCTAGCTAAAATGGCATTTAATAGTTCACAATGATTGCACACTTGAGCTTATGTCAGACTGTTCTCTAACCCCTTTATATGGGTTTTTATTTTAATTCCCACAACAAATATAGGAATGGATATTATTCACTAGATGGAGATGAGGAAACAGACATAGATTGAATTACCTACCAACATCATACAACTTGTGCCAGAACTTGAATTTAAACTCAGACCATGTGACTTGAATCTAAAGCTGGTGCTTTTAATCTCTATAATGCTATGAACTATCCTCTTTAATTCTGCTACCAAATTCCTGTGAAGTTCCAGATTAAAATGTTTTTTTCTAAATGGTATACAGCGAAATCCATATCTGTTTCAGAATATTTGACCCAAGCTAAAGATGGTGGCCCTGACTGTGAAGGGTCAGTAGGTCCAACTGGCCACAGCAGAACTCTTCCTTGAGTTTTAATGAAGTATGAGGGCTCCAGGTAAATAATGTAGGCGATATAAAAATGAGACTGAGATGTTAACATCAGAAGCCCATGATTAAGAGTCTTCCTTCTATACATGTCACAGGAGAGTGACAGGCTCAAAATGGGGCCTGAATATGCTGACACTTATTATGGAGAATGATGAAAGTGACCTTGTGTTTACCTCTGGTTAGTGCTCTATCAAGCAAAGTCTTCTCACTCTCTGTGTACACAGGGACATGCCTTTATTCCAGACCACATCTTCTCTTGCCTGAAAACTTACTAGTCTTCATACTATCCTGGCCATCCTACAAACTTACAGTGATATTTCTTAAATATGAATCAGATATATACTTAAAAGTGACAG